TGTGCACTCTGCTTTTCTGCCCAAACTTTTCCTTATTAAACCCCATTTTACACTTACAGTGCATGGTACTTGTATTTTTTTGTTTGTTTTTGCACAAGGTCAGCACAACAGCAGATGGTTAGACTGTGGTATTTCCATGTGCTCTTACACAGCTGTTAAAGGACATGCTGTTAATGGAAGTGTATTTAACTGTGATATGATTAAACAGAGAAAGTCATCGAGCAATGTATAGAGTATGATACCATGAGTGTGTGCATGCACTTATACTTGGGTAAGAGGGGACCCTGACCTGATCCCCACACACTTGCTGTGCCTCTCTTCATGGGGTGAAAAACTAAGCCAAGAGATTTTACCTACTTGGAATGCATATTCCTTTACCCACTTCTATACTAAGTTATTGAAACAGTCTTTCATTGTCTGAGATAACACCCTGAGTTCTTGTCCTACCTCCAAGATGATTATGGAGTGTGGACATAAAGGTGAGGTTAGAACAAAAGTTTAGTACGTGAAAGACAAAAGCTCTCTGCCAGCAGAGAAGGGGTCCTGAACAGGAGTACCCACCATGAGGCTGGAGTCCAGGGTTTTTATGGACGGAAGGGGACAGCCCGCAGACTAAAGAATATACTTAGTCTGTGGGCTGTCTTGGTGAACGTGTGACTCAGCTTGGCCTGGGACCAGTCAGGAGATGAAATGATGATTCATAGATGCGGCGTAGCCTGGCCCAGGACCTATCAGAAGCTGAAGTGAAAGGTTGGCCCGGGACCAATCGGGTTGAGGTGATGATGCATAGAATCCAGACTTAGAGTCCCAATAAAGGAAAGTAGAGTACCCACTGGAACCTACTGGATCCAACTGTGCCCATGCCTACAAAAGGAAAAGAAACTCTGGGAACCTGCGGACTATACAAAGGACAAAGTCATTTCTATGCCAGGCCTTGTTCCCTTATCTGAGTGAGCTGGAGGTTTGTGCAAGTTTTTATCCAAATGGGCTGTAGGTTTTTCTATCTGTGCAGCCATGGGCATGTCTCCAGGCACAACACCCTGTGCTAGTTCCCTAGTTGGTGCTTGCAGCTTGAGTTTTTTCCCAGGCTGCTTTTTATGTTATGTGGGGATGGGGCACTGACCCGTGGGCCAAGGGTTCTCTGGAACCCTTCCCTTGTTACCTACCTAAGGGAGGCTAACTAATCTGATCCCCATACTCTTGCTGTGCCTTTCTTCATGGGACGAAAAATTGAGCCAAGAGATTACATCTACTTGGAATGCATGTTCCTTCGCTGACTTCTATACTGATACCCGATAGCCAGAACCCCAGAATTTCTTGCCCAGTCAGCCTGAAGCTTGCCTCCAGCATGCGTGCAGGTCTCTTGTCCAAGTCCATCCTGATAAAAAGACTACTACAGATGCCTATACCCCTATGGCTGGCAGTTTGTGGGAAGCACAAATGAAGCTTTTTGTGCAGACTGAGTTGTCCACATGCATGCATGACAGGCCCCTTGTGGCAGGCTGAAACTAGAAGTAAGAGATCCAGGGGCTCAGGGAAGGGCAGGCCAACCTACTGTCACTTTCTGGAATACATTTGAAGAATTGCATATTTGAATCTAGATTTCTGTTCCCTGAGAATAAATACCTGTTGAAGTATAAGAGTATAACATTTTATTTGTTGGTTAACACTCAGCTGTTTAGACACTGAAAATATGTCAGGGTTGGCTTCCATTTGTCTTCTTGCCCTAGACCCTACAAATGTTAGGAGTGGGCCAGGGTGCTTGGATGTGTGCAGAGCTGAGTGGTTTATAGAACATGAATATTTACTTATAAGGGAGGCTGTTTGATGCATCACACCCCCTCTTTCAACTGCATTTGCTAACTAGATTAAAGCATACTGACGTCTGCCATGAGCTGAGGGCTAACATTTGACCTCAGTATGCTTGAGAAGGAGCACTGCCACCAGTTGAGTTGTATATTTACCTTCAGTTATGTTTGTTCCCAAACCTGCTTATGCAGGTGGCAGTCACAGTTGTAATTATGTAAGTATGTAAATCAATTATATAATGTAATTATATAAATATGAAACGAGTATGAAAAGTTACTTATGAGGAAAGTGGGGGAACCATTATAGATGAAGTGTTTAAAAAATTGCTGATAAGTTGTGGCCAAAGTAATTGAGTGATGGGGAAGATTTTTGTTTAAAAATTCCAGGATTCCACATTCATCTTCCTTCACTTGTATCTTTAAATTCCTCATCCATTTTACATAAACAGAAACAAGAAATGATGGATGATGCATTATGTCTGTGGTTTTGTAAGAAAAACAGTGAGATACTCCAATCAGTTGGTCCATACTTAAAATGAACTTAGTTCAAATCAGAAGATTGGCCATTGTAACCCTGTACTGAAACTACCTTTTAAAAAGATTTATTCAGAACTAGATTTGTTATACACTTGAAAAGTATTTACTTCTAAGAACCTGATAATTTTTCCCTTTTCCTGTTACTTTTAATTTCCAAGTACACAGAAAAGTAGAAAGCCAGTGCTTTGTGCTCATCACCTAGGTTGTCAATTGTTAACATTTTGCCATGTTTGTGCCATCTATTTTGTTTTAAAATGTCACCTGTAAGTATGCTATATGCATCAATGATGGCTGTTTAAAAACAGCCACATTCTGTTAACATTCTTAGCAAAATTAACAGTAATTCTGTACTGTTATCTAATGGATCAGTCAATACTAAAATTTCAGTTGTCTCAAAAACATCTTTTTACGGTTAGCTTGTTCAAATCAGGATGTAGACAGGGCCCACACATTGTACTTCATTACACCTCTTAAATATTTGATTTTTTTGTAGTTTCCTCTTCTGCTTTTAAATGCCATTGATTAAAAAACTGAGGCATTTGTCTTGTAGAACGTCCTGTTTTCTGAATTTAATTGGTTGCTTCTCTATATCCTGTGTTAGATCTAGAGTTTGAGTAAATGCAGGTTCAATTTTTAGGCAAGAATCCTTCACAGGTGTGGCTGCATACTTTCCATCGCATCAGGAAGCACATAATATATGCTTGTCCCAAACTTAGTGAGATTAAGATTCATCAATGGGTTCAGGTGGTGCCAGTCTATTATGAAGTACCCCATCAACCTTTCACCTTAATTTTAGCATCTATTGATGTTGCCCTTTCTATTATTTCATTAGAAGTTGCAAAATCATGATTGTTTTATCATTCTCCATTTATTAGCTGGAATTCTTATAAGTATTTTGGTTACACTGAAATTCAGTTCATACAAGAAAGGCAGGATAAATGCCTGATGTTTTCCCTTGGTCAGGTTTCAGAATATTTAATCTTTAACCTGGCAACCTTCAATCACGACTGAATTTTATTTTTTAAGGAGTTATTAGAAACTCCAGAATTTTTATATTTTATGTGTTTCAATCAATAGCAGGTATGTGATGCTCAAGTTTTCCCATGTTCCATCACATTAGCACCCCTGTTAATACCATTAAGCTTTGATAACTTCTTTCCTCTTGATGTAACCTACTTTTTTAAAAAAATTAACCTACCGAGTACCAGTTCTGAGTGTGTTGGATAGGAGGACTTCTACAGTAAGCTTGTATGTACGAAGGAATTATTTGATAAGGAAAAATAAAACGTTGGTAAAAGTGATAACCTCTAGGAAATGAGGAAGACTTCTTTCTGTATTGATAGAATTTTTAAAAAACAAAGCTTAGAAAACAAATACATGACGGGAGTATTTTCCGTTTTGTAGAAATAAATTATTACAGTAACTGGTGTAATGCTTTATGGTTTTCAAAAATTTATAACAAGATTAATAACTGAGACTTAACAACAATCTTTTGGATTACACCGTTAAAAGTTAACCAAGGCGGGAGGATCGCCTGAGGCCAGGAGTTCGAGACCAGCCTGGACAACATGGTGAGGACCCCCGCTCCCTCCTCTGCTAGCCCCTAACGTCTCTACAAAAGAAAAAAAAGAAAAAAGTTAAAGAATTAGGTCCAAAATTGTATCCAGCCCGAAACTGGAGGGCAACAGGCCGCTGGATCTTGGATGTCATAAAGGCACCTCAGCTTTATGAGCAGTAGTGAACGCAGCTGCTATTTTCCACTCTATCCCCTATCTCTACTAATTGTATCCAAACCAAAATTCAGGGAGTTACGATGAATCCCTCTCAGCGAAGCACACGCACTAAAAAATCATTCGTGTATCAGCAGCTCACATTTAATGAGCATTCTGCCTTATCTGAACTCATACGCTTTGGAAAACAGCTCAGCTGCTGCCTCCAGTTCATCGTCCGCTGCCGAAAACGTTTAACTTTTCTTAAAATCTGAGATTGCCTGAGTGTGCTGCTGTAGTTGTTAATAGACAAGAGATAAGAGGGCTTTGTGTAATCCCAGCACTTTGGGAGGCCGAGGCGGGTGGATCACGAGGTCAAGAGATCAAGACCATCCTGGTCAACATGGTGAAACCCCGTCTCTACTAAAAATACAAAAAATTAGCTGGGCATGGTGGCGCGTGCCTGTAATCCCAGCTACTCAGGAGGCTGAGGCAGGAGAATTGCCTGAACCCAGGGGGCGGATGTTGCGGTGAGCCGAGATCGCGCCATTGCACTCCAGCTTGGGTAACAAGAGCGAAACTTCGTCTCAAAAAAAAAAAAAAAGAGGGCTTTGGCAAAGTGGCTAGATTCTAAAAGCGAGGAATCGCCAGGGCTTAGTAAACTTCTGGCGGTGAGGATGCGACACGAGCCACAGACAAGCCGAGGAGGGCACTGGACGGTGGGAACTTCCCGGCCGGAACCCAGCAAGCCTCCGAGGCTCAGCACTTGACGGCCGCTTTTGCGGCGATTGCTGTGAATGCCGTAAAGCGGAGTGGCTGCCGCTGCTGTTGAGTGAGATAAGGTACGGGAGTCTCAGCTCAGTAGCTAGAGATAGGTGGGCGCCTTCAAACAGGTGCCGCTGGTGGCTCGGGTGCCCTTACTGGGCATCCTCCAGTATTCTGGGCACCTGCCTACCCCTTGGCGGGGAGGCCGGCCACAGGCTGAGCGCGCTCCGGGCTGGGTACTCCTCAGTCAGTCCACGAGCATCGCGTGGTAGACTTCCACTTGGCCAGTCCTTCCCACACGTTTGGGCGTGTCATCAGGTAAAATCTTCCTCCTGGGACAGGTGAAAGTTTGGAGGGCGATCAGACTCTTGTAGTAGCAGGGTTGCCCTAGTGACTCCTGACCTCAGGTGATCCACCCGCTTCGGCTTCCCAAAGTGCTGGGATTACAGGCGTGAGCCAACGCTCCGGGCCTGAAATTTCTAATTTCTAAATTAGCATGAGGTAACCCCCCTTTCTCTTGGATTCAGTTTTCTCAGATGTTAAAAAAAAACAAACAAACAAGGACCTAGATGATATCAGATTCTTTATGCTTTTGAAGATAGCACGTTTCCAGCGAGTAAAAATCAATCTATGAACTAATATCAAAGTGAATAATAGAGCAGTACCTTAGAAATTGGGCAGATGGAAGCTCAAGTAGAAAAGGCTGTGTTTGAGCTAGACTCTGAGGATGAATAGGGTTTGGGTGATTGGAAACCATCTCTGTTGGGCCATGGACAGAGATATCAAAGGCAGGAATGTTATATTCTCTTTGTGCACATATGTTTAGTGAGGGTAGAAGATTTGGGAAGGCTGGCATTGAATGATGAAAGAACCCCAAGTGGAAAGAAATGCAGGGTGTTCTGACAAGGAGGAAAAAAGGAACCGGGGAAATGCCCAAAGAACAATACACAGGATTTTGAGTTCATGGATCTAGGTGATAATATTTTTAACCTGGGTTTCTAAAAAGTAAGTTTAAGTGCTGTTGGCAAAAATGGGAATTCTATTGAATTCCAGCATGCAGTAGTGTATTGGGAATAACGTAATTTAGATTGTAGAGTGCTGGTCTTGCCAATAACTAGCCTTTTGGCTGTCATTTAATTCTAGAGCCTGTTCTCTGTAAGATGATGTTGGGTCAGCTGCTCTCTCTTGTCTAAAGCCTGTAAAACTAGAGACTTCGAGGACGCAGAGCGAGCCACTTTCTTCTGGAGGGGGAGAGGAAGATAGTTGACAGAGAATAAAATTGTTAATTTTGGGCCGGATGCGGTAGCTCACACCTGTAATCCCAGCACTTTGGGAGGCTGAGGTGGGTGGTCACCTGAGGTCAGGAGTTCGAGACCAGCCTGGCCAACATTGTGAAACCCTATCTCTACTAAAAATACAGAAAATTAGCCAGATTTGTTGACGGGTGCATGTAATCCCAGCTACTCAGGAGGCTGAGGCAGGAGAATTGCTTGAACTCAGGAGGCAGAGGTTACAGTAAGCCAAGATCAGAACACTGCACTCCAGCCTGGACAAGAGGGAAACTCTATCTCAAAAAAAAAAAAAATTGTTAATTTTGAATATGTTAAATTTGAGGTGAGGTACAGGAAATATAGTTGAAAAAGGTGGATTGAGTGCAGAGACTGTAATTTAAATAGTGTTTTCTCTCACAGGTGGTAGTTAAAATGTTGAGAATGGATTTGTTTTGAGGGAGAGATTGTAGAGAGAATAACTATAGGCTATACCCATAGATAGAAGGTTAGAGAAATTTTTGAAGGAGGCATGTGGATCTCAGAGCTAAGAGCAAGGAGTCCTTTTACAAAAAAAGTTACATATAATTGTAGGTTCTCAGGGGCCCACCGTTATTATTAAACTAATTTAACAGCATTTGCAGCAAATGATAAGCACCTACTTCTGGGAATACTGGCAGAAAATAAATAATTCAAATAGATAAAATCTCTATTGCCTTTCTAATTGTCTACCCAGAAGTGATATTATTTACATAGTTATTTATTCAACAAATATGTCTCAAGCACTGCTGGTGCTAGGGATATAACGATGAACAAGGTAGACATTGTTATTATCTTCTCTGCACGTAAAACCCTTAGCATCTAGATCAGAGCTTTTCAAATTTTAATGTACATATGAATCATCTGAGGATTTTATTAAAATGAAGATTATGAATCAGTAAATGGGGCCTGAAAATTCCATATTTCTAACAAGCTCCAATGTGATGCTGATGTTCTTGGGACCATACTTTTAAGTGACAAGAATCTAGATCCTGTTTAGCACATATGGCAATTATTAAGCCACTACCACCACCCATTATCTGTTTCTCTTAAGATAAAATAATTACTCCTTATGAAAATAATATATGCCTATAAAAATATTGGAACAATATAGAAAAGTATAAAGAACCATGTAAAAATCACTCCTAATTCTGCCCACCCAGAGATAACCATTATTAATATTTTTGGGAACATTCATCCAGATTTTACATGGGTACATACATTCACAATTTCAGTGTTGCACTAAGTACATGATATACTCTAAGCCCTGTGTTTGACTCTATTTGTTGTATGGTTTTATTAAGATTAATACCCAAGCATCTGCAACCAAGCAATTAAGTACTTGAATTCTTGAGGAAGTCACTTAAAAATAACTTGGGAGCCAGACATAGTGTCTCATTCCTATAATCCCAGGTGCTCAAGAGGCTGAGGTGGAAGCATTGCTTGTGACTAGCAGTTTGAGGCAGCAGGGAGCTATGATTGTGACACTGCACTCCAGCCTGGGTGACAGAGCAAGACCCCATTTCTTAATAAAAAAAAAAGCTTTTGTTACTCCAGAAATGGGGAGACATTAGCATAATTCAACCTTATAATGCATTTGGGCTCTAGTAAATGAATATTTGTCATTTCATTTAGGATGAGAGAAGAATTTTTAAAGTTTAAAAAGACTTAGTAGTTTTTTCTTATTACAAAATCAATTGATGTTCACATAGCATACACAATAAGGAAAACAAAACCACTTAGACTCTTACCAACCCAAAGACAATCCTTCCTGTCTTCACATCCCTTCTTGCTAACCTGTCTTATCTAGAGCTTTCATTTCAGCCAGTCTCTTTTCAAAACCCTCTTACACCATCGCCATTCAGAAGGGAGTCACTATGTATTCATGATTTTTCTGGAATATCTACTGGAGAGACTAAATTTCATTAGCTTTTTATCTTAAAGTGTCAGCATGTTTAGGTAGAGGTTATATTGCAAAGGATGAAGAAGTGCATGAATGGTAAGCAGATAAAGAGACATCTTAACCCCTTTCAGTCTAATGCTTACTTCCAAGCTGCTGACAGTTGTGAGAAGTTAGAAGTGAAAGGAAAATAAATGGACAATGAGAAAGACCAACAGTATTTAGGGACATTTTGATGGTAGCTATTGCTACTGGGGTATTTTTGGCTTTTGAGAACAGCTGAAAAATGTTTATTGTCTTATCTCTGAATACATTTCTAGAGGCGTTTTCTCTTCATGCCTGCCAATTTGCTACTCAGTCCCCTATTTTTTGCAGTTCAGGGCATATTTGTTGATTTCTTCTTATTTTATGGCTGGAGGACAAAAGACATATAAAGATATCAAGAGTAGTAGGTATTAGTATATTTGAAGAATTGAAGGAATAAATATAAGCACTTGAAGAACTAAAGGTATTTAACCAAAATCAAACAGTGGAGACAAGTTAGGAAGAAGTAGAACTGTATTAAATTTCTTACCCTAAAGAAATAATCAGAGATGAGACATAAAAGAACAAAATATTTATTGTGGCATTACTTACAGTTGAAAAAACTGAAAACATGCATGGCAGATTAAGAAAAACTGACCACATCCTAGATCACACACAAAGTCAAAAAGCATCAAAGAGCTGCCTCACAGGCCATGTTCCTTGACAAAAAAACGTTCTCAGTTTCTTCTTTGGAAGTGGTTCTCAGCATTGTCAGCAGCATCAGCATCATTTGGGAACTTGTCAGAAATGCAAATTCAGAGGTCTCATACTAGATTTACTGAATCAGAAACTGGAGGAGAAAAGCACCTCTCAAGCTTTGTTGGTCAGTTTTTATAAATATCTATTTATGTTTTCAGTTATTTGAAGTTATAAAAAAAAAAGCCATGATAAACATTTTTGTCCTTTCATCATTGATCCCATATTTGATTGTTTCTTTAGCCTAGAAAATGATCAGATCAAAGAATGCGTGTAGAAATTTAATTTTTTCTTTGTTCTGTTGTTGGTTATTAGAGGTGAGAAATTAAAGAGGATTTTGTCTCTTTAGAAATATTCCTTTTGTTCACAGAAAACAAAATTATCTTCCTTTCCAAATCCAAAACGATGAAAACGACTGAGTTACTTTCAAAAGACAACCAAGTGTGCACCACAGACTAATGAGTAGAATCAATAAGAACGTGGTTTTGGCCCTTTTAATACTGACAAGTTCTGCATTTCTGCTGTTTCAGTTGTACTACTACAAGCACTATTTATCAGCAAAGGTAATTTTATTCTTCCTTTCTTATCATTAGAATTCATTTTAGCTGTATATTTTCCTATCACATTTCTCTTTGCAATACATAAAATTAATCATGATTATTTAAATTTTTGAATCTTTTTTTTTTATTATGCTTTAAGTTCTGGGATACATGTGCAGATCTGGCAGGATTGTTGCATAGGTACACACATGCCATGGTGGTTTGCTGTCTCCATCCCCTCCTCACCTACATCAGCCATATCTCCCAGTGTTATCCCTCTCCAAACTCCCTGTCCCCTGCTGTCCCTCCCCTAGTCCCCTGCCCCTCCAACATACCCCTGTGTGTGATGCTCCCCTCCCTGTGTCCATGTGTTCTCATTGTTCAACACCTGCCTGTGAGTGATTTTCTGTTCTTGTGTCAGTTTGCTGAGAATGATGGTTTCCAGATTCATCCATGTCATTACAAAGGCCACAAACTCATTGTTTTTTATGGCTGCATAGTATTCCATGGTGTATATGTGTGACATTTTCTTTGTGTTGATTTGTCTAATATTGACAGTAGAGTGTTAAAGTCTCCCGCTATTTTTGTGCGGGAGTCTAAGTCTCTTTGTAGGTCATTAAGAACTTGCTTTATATATCTGGGTGCTCCTGTATTGGGTACATATGTATTCAGGATAGTTAGCTTTTCTTGTTGCATTGATTCTTTATCATTATGTAATGCCCTTCTTTGTCTCTTTTGATCTTTGTTGGTTTAAAGTCTGTTTTATCAGAGATTAGGATTGTAACTCCTGCTGTTTTTTGCTCTTCATTTGCTTGGTAAATCTTCCATCCCTTTATTTGCGGTCTATGTGTGTCTTTGTACCTGGGTTGGGTCTCCTGGATACAGCACACTGTTGGGTCTTGACTTTTTATCCAGTTTGCCAGTCTATGTCTTTTGATTGGGGCATTTAGGCCATTTACATTTAACGGTAATATTGTTATGTGTGAATTTGATCCTGCCATTTTGTTACTGGCTGGTTGTTTTGCCTGTTAGTTGATTCTGTTTCTTAATTGTGTAGCTGGTCTTTACCATTTGGTATGTTTTTGCAGTGGCTGGTACTGGTTGTTTCTTTCCGTGTTTAGTGTTTCCTTCAGGAGCTCTTATAAGGCTAGTATGGTAGCGACAAAATCTCTCAGCAACTGCTTGTCCATAAAGGATTTTATTTCTCCTTCACTTATGAAACTTAGTTTGGCTGGATATGAAATTCGGGTTGAAAGTTCTTTTCTTTAAGGATGTTGAATATTGGCCCCTGCTCTCTTCTGGCTTGTAGGGTTTCTGCTGAGAGATCCACTGTGAGTCTAATGGGCTTCCCTTTATAGGTGACCCAACCTTTCTCTCTGGCTGCCCTTAGCATTTTTTCCTTCATTTCAACCCTGGTGAATCTGATGATTATGTGCCTTGGGGTTGCTCTTCTTGAGGAGTATCTTTGTGATATTCTCTGTATTTCCTCGATTTGAATATTGGCCTGCCTTGCTAGGTTGGGGAAGTTCTCCTGGATAATGTCCTGAAGAGCATTTTCCAGCTTGGATACATTCTCTCCATCACATTCAGGTACATTGATCAAGCTTAGATTAGGTCTTTTCACATAGTCCCATATTTCTTGGAGGCTTTGTTCATTTGTTTTCACTCTTTTTTCTCTAATTTTGCCTTCTTGTTTTATTTCATTGAGTTGATCTTCAATCTCTGATATCCTTTCTTCT